ACCCGCCAGGCAGCAGGCTGCTATCCGCAGCGTGGGGAGCCCTGTGGGGAACTCCTGCAAGGCTCCCCACTCTGCGGATGTCTGCCTGGCGCGAGGGGCGCTCTGCTTCAGGGCGCCCCACCCGCCAGGCAGCAGGCTGCTATCCGCAGCGTGGGGAGCCCTGTGGGGAACTCCTGCAAGGCTCCCCACTCTGCGGATGTCTGCCTGGCGCGAGGGGCGCTCTGCTTCAGGGCGCCCCACCCGCCAGGCAGCAGGCTGCTATCCGCAGCGTGGGGAGCCCTGTGGGGAACTCCTGCAAGGCTCCCCACGCTGCGGATGTCTGCCTGGCGCGAGGGGCGCTCTGCTTCAGGGCGCCCGACGCTCCGGGAAGCAGGCTGCTATCTGCAGCCTAGACACGGCTAGCAGAGCGCTAATCCCGAAGCTTGGGGCATGCGGAGCTCAGCGCGCCCCAAGCTTCTGGGTGCCGGCAAGGTCTCCGCTAGCCTAGTGGAGACCTTGCCGGCGCCCAGAAGCTTGGGGCGCGCTGAGCTCGCACGCCCCAAGCTTCGGGATTAGCGCAGCGGTCCGCTAGCCGTGGGAGAGCCGTGCGACGTCGCGGGGCTCTCCCAGGGCTAGCGGAGACCTTGCCGGCGCCCAGAAGCTTGGGGCGCGCTGAGCTCGCGCGCCCCAAGCTTCGGGATTAGCGCAGCGGTCCGCTAGCCGTGGGAGAGCCGTGCGACGTCGCGGGGCTCTCCCAGGGCTAGCGGAGACCTTGCCGGCGCCCAGAAGCTTGGGGCGCGCTGAGCTCGCACGCCCCAAGCTTCGGGATTAGCGCAGCGGTCCGCTAGCCGTGGGAGAGCCGCGCGACGTCGCGGGGCTCTCCCAGGGCTAGCGGAGACCTTGCCGGCGCCCAGAAGCTTGGGGCGCGCTGAGCTCGCACGCCCCAAGCTTCGGGATTAGCGCAGCGGTCCGCTAGCCGTGGGAGAGCCGCGCGACGTCGCGGGGCTCTCCCAGGGCTAGCGGAGACCTTGCCGGCGCCCAGAAGCTTGGGGCGCCCTGAGCTCCGCACGCCCCAAGCTTCGGGATTACCGCAGTGCTTCGCTAGCCCTGGGAGAGCCGCGCGACGTCACGCGGCTCTCCCAGGGCTAGCGGAGACCCTGCTTGCACCCAGAAGCTTGGGGCGCGCTGAGCTCCGCACGCCCCAAGCTTTGGGATTAATGCAGCGCTCCGCTAGCCGTGGGAGAGCTGGGTCTCCCACGGCTAGCGGATAGCTTCCTGAAGCCTGGAGAGCGAGAGGGGTCGGTGCGCACCGACCCCTCTCACTCTCCAGGCTTCAGCGAAAGCCTGCATTCGCTCCATAGGACGCACACACATTTTCCCTTGCTTTTTAGGAGGGAAAAGGTGTGTCCTATGGTGCGAAAAATACGGTATATAAAAGTATTAGGCTTGCAATAAAACAGGTAACCACCCCACTTTCTCTCAAAAGCATCAAAAAAAGCATGAAACCACCAACATAAATAATAATCAAAATTGCCTCTTAGCACCAACAGCAAATAAAGTTAAGGTCCACCTCAATATTTAAGCTCCATGGAAGGCCTACCCTTTGAGTAGTGCTTTAAAAGCAATAGAAGACACAACATATACATGCAGTTTATTCTGTCTCACTTTCTAAACTACTGCTATCATTTTCCATTTCTTCTTCCTCTTCCTCTTTGTCATTTTCCCCATGGACTTCTAAAAAACGGCTTTGGGGGGAAACGGGGGGGGGGGACTGTCCCCCCCCCATTTTTCTGTTTTTTCCCCAGGCCTTCCCATCTCTCCTTGAGGACAGCTGGGGCAAAGCGTAAGGCAATTTTTTTGCATGCTAGGCCCAGAAGGAAGCAACATCCAGTTACCGAATAGTAGGCAGTGGAAGACAGGAGTGCCTGGCGTGCTCTGGTCCATGGGGTCACGAACAGTCGGACACGACTAAACAACAACAACAACAAATGTTGCACTAAGGCTCAAACTCTGTTTGAAAGGAAAAGGACTGTGAGTTTTTAAAATTGAATTTGTTATTATATATTATAAACCGCATGGTGCTAAGAGAGCTTCTAAACAGTTTACAAAAATATACAACAGAACATTAAAATGTTGGATAAAACACAGTTAAAAAGCAGGTATTTAAGAGACAGCAGTGGTTTAAAAGAAGTAAACTGCATGCAGCTTCTACGTGTTCAGATGCGCTGGCCCTAACGAAAATGTTTTGAGCAGTTGCCGGAAAGAGTACAAGTGAGAGCACCTGCCTGTGTCTGTCAGCAAGGAGCTCCAAAGTGGGGGTTCTGGAAGACCTGGGGGGTGGAAAAAGGGGGTGGAAGGTTGTCGTCCCCGTTTTCCCCCAAAGTCATTTTTTTCAGGAAAAATTGAAAATGAAAGTGTATGGAATATTCAAACTATATCAAACAATTTTTTTTTTATTTTTTCCAGGAAAACAGGGCTTCAGAAAAAAAAACTTTCCCCCCTCCCCAATTTTTCTAGTTTTTTTTTCCAGGCCTTCCCATCGCTAGGCATGAGCAACAGGCATCGATTGGAGAAGATGGGTTAAGTTTGCTGGACTATTACCTGCACTATCAGGTATTTCTGAAAGCAGTAGGAGAACACTCCAATCTCCCAGGACATTCTATACAAGATCTGAAAGTCGCTGTCTTATTACAAAAGAATTTCAGAAATAGACTGCAAAGAGAAGTTGCTGAATTGCAACTTACTACCAAACTTAAAACCATGGAGAGACCTGGTCTGAAGAGAGACATTGGATTCTTATCTCGTTATACATGATAAAGCTATTTTAGCCATCTCACCCCTTGTTTTTTCCTGTAAGACCAATTGCAGGCGTTAACAGTCCTCAACAGGTTTACCACACCTATCAGCCAGTCACCCATTCCCACCGCCCTTCTGAGTAATACCCCTCCCCACCCTCTCACTATATATAAGGCTCTGGTGACTTCTGTTTCAGTGTATCTGAAGAAGTGTGCATGCACACGAAAGCTCATACCAATAATAAACTTGGTTGGTCTCTAAGGTGCTACTGGAAGGAATCTTATCTTATCTTCTTATTTATTTATTTATTTATTTATGGCTACGGCAGACCAACACTGCTACCTACCGGTAACGCGGCATTTCATCAGCAAAGTTCATTTCTGAAATACTGCCTTTCACTAGACTATGCAACAAGGAAACTGTCTTGCTAACACACACAGGTATTTTGGGGTGGGGGCGGTTACGGGAAATACTAGGGGAGGGGAGAGGTGGGGGGAGAACACATAGCCCAGATACATCCCATCAGGAACCAGCCACTGCCTGGATATTTCGGACTAGAGTGCTAATAGGTCACTGTTTCAGGATGTTTATTTCTTCACCTTCATCTGCCTAGGAGGGATTTCAGTTTTATGTCTCCGAAATATCCAGGCAGTGGCTGGAAAATCAATGCATTTTCTATACTGTTCAAATTTCTCTCTCAACCAAAGGTGTCATGGACTTTGAAGACACTCGAACTCAGGATGCAAGGGAGAAGCGTGCTAAGAGGAAGGGACGCTTGGCAAATCCACACCATGATTAACTTCCGCCTGGGTACCTACCGTATTTTTCGCTCTATAACACGCACCTGACCATAACACGCACATCGTTTTTAGAGGAGGAAAACAAGGGAAAAAACATTCTGAATGAAACAGTGGATGTATCATTTTTGTGCTTCATGCTGTGGGCCACAGACATGTGATCTGATGGTGAATTTGGGGTGACCCAATGCAAAAATCCTGAGAATCCCTGTGGATCCATGCTTTGTAACCACGTTTTTGCACCATTGCAGCCCCAGGCAACAGTGGGTGCATGCTTTTTTTGGGTGCAGGCTGTAGCCATGGACATGCTATGTGATCTGATGGTGAATTTGGGGTGACCCAATGCAAAGATCCTGAGGATCCATGTGGATCCATGCTTTTTAACCACGTTTTTGCACCATTGCAGCCCCAGGCAACAGTGGGTGCGTGATTTTTTTGGTGCAGGCTGTAGCCATGGACATGCTATGTGATCTGATGGTGAATTTGGGTGACCCAATGCAAAGATCCTGAGGATCCATGTGGATCCATGCTTTTTAACCACGTTTTTGCACCATTGCAGCCCCAGGCAACAGTGGGTGCGTGATTTTTTTGGTGCAGGCTGTAGCCATGGACATGCTATGTGATCTGATGGTGAATTTGGGGTGACCCAATGCAAAGATCCTGAGGATCCATGTTGATCTATGCTTTGTAACCACATTTTAAGTGGGGAGCGAAGGAAAAACAAAGAAGGGACATGAGAGGGGTGTGCAGAGAAGCAGCTGGCTAAGAATGCTGGAGAGGGATTTAACGGGTGGGAGGAAAGAAAGGCAAAAGTTCCCCCCCAAGCCAGCCATCTCTCTCTCTCTCTCTCTCTCTCTCCCTCCCTCCCTCCCTCCCTCCCCCCCTCTCTCTCCCTCCCCCCCTCTCTCTCCCTCTCCCTCCCCCCCTCTCCCTCTCCCTCCCCCACTCTCTCTCCCTCTCCCCCAGCAGCACCGGAGCACAGAGAGGAATTAGAAAGAACGACACTCTGCTTGCCTGGAGGGGAGGGGCTTTCCCTGCTCTTTGTTCCGTTTCAGCAATCACAGCAACGAAACAGAGGAGGGTGGGCAGTAAGACCCTGAGGCAGAATGCAGGAAAGCTGCCACTTCCTCTTTTCAGGTTTCCCTTCTCCGTGACTCGCGATTTGACTTTTGCTTGATTTTTTGGCTCCAGGGACCACACATTCGCTCTATAACACGCACAGACATTTCCCCTTCCTTTTTAGGAGAAAAAATCTGCGTGTTATAGAGGGAAAAATACGGTATGTCTCCACTGTGGAAGGATGTGTGGGTCCAGAATTGGCCTCCACAGTCACTTACGGACTCATTGTTAAAACCGTGTTTATGGAAGACAATCTTACTCAGCTACGAGCGATTACCAAAGAAGAAGAATTTCTCTCTTGACTGCGTATTGAGGCTTATTATACAGTATATGTTTTTCAACAGCATTTGTTCATTAGAGCTGCGATCTGAGGGGCTATACGCTCATTGCAAAGATACGTCATTTACATCATACGTCAACAGAATACCAGTGAATGCATTTGTGTCTATGAAAAATATCAGATCAATTCACACCAGATTAACAAATTTTGGGGATGGGAGAAATATTAAAGCAACGCTATATACAAGTGATAAATACAATCTGCAACACAGCCACTAAAAGGAATAAAAATTCTAATGGAAGCAAATTCTAATTCTGAACACAATCATTGTTTTACTCTCTGTAGGAGTTATTTGATATGATTAAATATCTTCCCACACTCCAACCTTTCTGTTTCCCTTGTACAGGTTCTTTTCAGTTTAGTAAGGGAGTCCTTGTCACATAAGTTCTTTCTATAGGCCAAACATTTCTAAGATTTCCTCCCTGTATGAGTTCTTTGATGCGACTTAAGGGAGCTACTTTGAATGAAGCTCCTTCCACACTCCGAACATGTATATGGTTTCTCTCCTGTATGAGTTCTTTGATGCAATGTAAGAAAGCTACCACAACTGAAGCTCTTGCCACACTCCAAACATTTATACGGTTTCTCTCCTGTGTGCAATCTTTGATGCAAGGTAAGGCTGCAACTGTAGCTGAAGCTCTTTCCACACTCCGAACATGTATACGGTTTCTCTCCTGTATGAGTTCTTTCATGCGACTTAAGGGAGCTACTGCGACTGAAGCTCCTTCCACACTCCGAACATGTATATGGTTTCTCTCTTGTATGAGTTCGTTCATGCAACGTAAGGAAGCTACTGCACCTGAAGCTCCTTCCACACTCCGAACATGTATACGGTTTCTCTCCTGTATGAGTTCGTTGATGCGACTTAAGGGAGCTACTGCGACTGAAGCTCCTTCCACACTCCGAACATGTATACGGTTTCTCCCCTGTATGAGTTTGTTGATGCAATGTAAGGTGACTCCTGTTCCTGAAGCTTTTTCCACACTCCGAACATGTATACGGTTTCTCTCCTGTATGAGTTCGTTGATGCGACGTGAGTTGGCTACCATGACAGAAGCTCTTCCCGCACTCCAAACATTTATAAGGTTTCTCTCCCGTGTGCAATCTTTGATGCAAGGTAAGGCTGGAACTGTGGCTGAAGCTCTTTCCACACTCCAAACATGTATATCGTTTCTCCCCTATATGAACTCTTTCATGTGAGGAAAGGTTGTCAATGCGACTGAAGCTCTTGCCACATTCCCAGCATTTATAAGGTTTGCTGCCTCGATGAGTTTGTTGATGTCTAGTAAGCGCATTGCGGTAAGCGAAGCTCATTCCACACTCCAAACACGTATGCGGTTTCTCCCCTGTATGAGTTCGTTGATGCGAATTAAGGTTGCTACTCCAACTGAAGCTCCTTCCACACTCTGAACATGTATACGGTTTTTCCCCTGTATGAGATCTTTGATGTGACTTAAGGGTGCTACTCTGACTGAAGCTCTTTCCACACTCTGAACATGTATACGGTCTCTCCCCTGTATGAGTTCGTTGATGCACGGTAAGGCTGCTACTGTTACTGAAGCTCTTTCCACACTCCAAACATTCATGCTTTTTCTCCTCTCTGGGAATTTGGTTTTCATCACCCTGAGACATACAAGAGTCACCCTCCGGCTTCTGCTTTCGTCTCCCCTCTCGCCTGCTGCCTCCATCTTGAACCCTCAGCTTCCTTTGCTCTTTGGATCCTTTCGGTGACACTTCGGATTGTTCCCCTTCTGCCAGCATCCCTTCAACATCTCCTGATGCAATAAAAGGCACAGTGATGAAATGCTAAAGGAGCGTCTTCACCCCAATCATTCTGTCAGGACACAGAGATCCAGGTCCCAGGGCCTTGTGGCAGTTCCCTCACTGTGAGAAGGGAAGTTACAGAGAACGAGGCAGAGGGCCTTCTTGGTAGTGGTGCCCACACTGTGGAACGCCCTCTTGTAAGATGTCAATTAAATAACTATACAACTATACAACCTTTAAAAGACATCTGAAGGCAGCCATGTAGAGGGAAGTTTTTAATATTTGATTATGCTTTTATATTTGTTATATTTGTTAGAAGCCAGCTAGAGTGGCTGGGGCAACCCAGTCAGATCCGTGGGGTACAAATAATGAAAGCATTAATATGGGATTATTATTTATTGATATGGTATTATTATTTATTGAGTTTATATACTGCCCTATACCCGGAGGACTCGGCATGGTTCACAGAAAAGATCACATCGTATATAATCAGAATAAAAACAAAAGCCCAATAACACCCACCCCCAAAAAGAGCAACCTTTGAAAATGACCATAGGATGTCAAAGATATCTAGCAAAAACCTGGTTTAAAAGGAACATGTTTGCATGGCACCTAAAGGTGTAAACCCCTTCATGGATCACTGCCTTGTCGTGGTGAAGGGGCTTGAATAACTCAGAGAAGCTATGACCTATAATAAATAATAATAATAATAATAATAATAATAATAATAATAATGAAAAATTATTGATACTACAAAACACTTAATTGATTTTACAAAAAATGCATAAAATACGGTATAAAGCTTAAATAACAATAAAATCAAAAATCCAATTTAGGGGGGAAATCCATCTAATAAACATTAGATGATCACCCGAGCTAGCTGGCCAAATTAGTCCCACCTGGGCCAGCGAGGAGACCAGGGGAGAACTAGCTGTGGGATCCCAGAGTGGGTAATCTTCACAAAAAAGGGAGGGGGAGGGAAGGAAGGAAGGGGAACAAAAGATCAGGCCAGGTTCAAATTGAAAGCCAGGCGGAATAGTTCTGTCTTACAGGTCCTGAGGAAGGAAGATGGACAGGTCATCTGAGAGTTTAGACTAAATGTGATCCACCTGGAGAAGAAACTGGCAACCCACTCCAGTATTATGCCATGAAAGCTCCATGGACATGAAAAAGGAGAAGCTTTGAGAGGAAAGTGAGTTTCCAAGGCGTGCTCTGATTCATGGGGTCACGGAGAGTCGGACACGACTAAGACGACTAAACAACAACAAAGGTGTATAAGGAAGGCGTCAGGTGAACTTCCCTGGGGAGAGCATTCCACAGACGGGCAGCCACTGCAGAGAAGTCCCTGTTCTCGTGTTGCCACCCTCTAGACCACTTGAGATCAGAAGGGGATCTCAGGGTCCGAGTAGGTTCATATGCAAAGAGGTGGCCCTTGAAGTATTGTGGTCCTGAGCCATGTAAGGCTTTATAGGTCAAAACCAGCACTTTGAATTGGGCCTGGAAACTATTTGGTAGCGAGTGCAGTCAGACTAGGATGGGGGTAATATGCTCAAACCACCTTGCTCCAGTGAGCAACCTGGCCAGTAAATTCTGCACTAGCTGAAGTTTCCAGACTGTCTTCAGAGGCAGCCCTACGTATAACGCATATCTATATCTAACCTTGAATTTCCCAGAGTATAGACAACGGTAGATAGGCTATTCCTGTCCAGATAGGGGTGTAGCTGGGCTACCAGCCAAAGATGATGGAAGGCACTACAGGCCATCTGAGCCTCGAGCAACAGCAAAGGATCCAGGAGAACCCCCAAGCGACGAACCTGCTCCTCCAGAGGAAGTGTAACTCCATCAAGAGCAAGCGACCTCCCAGCCATCTGCTCTAGGGAACCACCCACTAACTGAACCTCACTCTTATCTGGATCGAGCTTCAATTTGTTGGCTCTCATCCAGTCCATTACAAAGGCAAGACACTGGTCCAGCACTTCCACTGCCTTATCTTCAGATAGAAAGGAGAAATAGAGCTGAGTGTCATCAGCATACTGCTGGCAACGTACTCCAAACCTCTGGATAACCCTTCCAGCGATTTCATGTAGATATTAAACAACATAGGGGATTGGATTGGGCCTTGCGGAACCCCACACTGAAGCTTCCATGGGGCTGAAACGCATTGCCCAAGTAACACCCTTTGGAAATGACCATCCTAGTAGGATTGGAACCATCGCAAAGCAGTGCCACCCACCCCCAGTTCAGAGAGTCGCTCCAGAAGGATACCATGATCAGTGGTATTGAAAGCCGCTGAGAGGTGGAGAACAATGAACAGGGACACATTTCCCTTGTCTCTCTCTCGACAGAGGTCATTATACAGGGGCCACCAAAGCAGTTTCCGTGCCAAAACCAGGCCTAAACCCTGATTGAAATGGATCCAGAAAATCAGTTTCTTCCAAAAGCACCTGGATCTGGTCTGCGACCACTCACTCCAGAACCTTGCCCAGGAAAGGGAGATCAACAACTGGCCGGTAGTTAATTAGGCTTTCTGAATTCAGAGAAGGTTTCTTAAGGAGTGGTTTTACCTCTGCCTCCTTCAAACATGCAGGGACCACCCCCTCTTGTAAAGAGGTACTGATCATCTCCCTGGCCCAGCCTGCTGTTCCCTCCCTGCTGGATTTTATCAGCCAAGAGGGGAAAGGGTCTAGAATGCAAACGGTCACCCTGACTGATCAAAACACCATGTCCATATCCTCGAGTCTTGCCAACTGAAAAAACTCATCCAACACAACAGGACTAGACTGTGCTCTGGACACCCCAAGAGACTCATCTGCTGTAACAGCAGAGTCAAGGTCTTGGTGGATGCAAGCAATTTTATCTTCAAAATGCTTTGCAAACAAGTCACAGCAAGCTACTGCTGGTTCTACTCCTCCTTTGAGCCTGTCTGTAAAAGGCTCTGTACAACTTGGAAAAGTTCTGCCGGGCGACATAATGAAGATGCAATGGAGGCAGCAAAGTATGCCTTCTTTTCTCCCTTCACTGCCACTAGGTAGGCTTGATAATGAGCCCCTACCAGTGTTCGGTTGCATTCATTTGGATCTTTCCTCCACTTTCATTCAAGCAGTCTCCCAGCTTGTTTCCTCACCTAAGCTCTGGAGTGTACCAGGGAGCCAATCAGGCTCCACAAAGTGGGAGAGGGCGCTCAGGGGTATTATTATTATTATTATTATTATTATTATTATTAGTAGTAGTAGTAGTAGTAGTAGCGTTAGCCTGTCTAAGTAAGGCCTCAGCCACACTTGGAATTTTAATGTGGACTTGAAGTTGCTTGTTTCTCCTTTTTTAAAAAAATCTCTTATGCCCAGAACTCCTCTTGCAGAAACTGCTTACACAAATAATTTAAAATGTGTGTGTTGGGTGTGTGTGTAATTGGTTCTTTTTGTTTCTGTTTTGATTATGTACTTTTATCCTGTGAACCGTCCTGAGGCCTGTGGGTATAGGGAGGTATGTAAATTTAACAAATTATAGTAAAATCAGGCCAGATAAAAATTATTACAAGTTCCAGGGGGAGCCTCTGCAGAAGGTTTTTCAATGCTTAAGGGTTTGCCTTGACCCCAAGCCCTATGGGGAGCCCAAGGAAGGTCCCCCACCTGCCCAAGTTGGCCTGCAGGGAGGAGAGCAGGAGAAAGATCTGCCCTTCTATTGGGAAAAGATGTCCTACCCCCCAAAAAAGGGGGGAAAGACCTATAAATGCATTATTTTACCGGAATTATATACAGAATGCATTAATTATGGCAAATGTAAATATTTGTGGAAATACCCTTTGCAAAAGCGTGAGCATTAGGCGAGATCTGCACCAAAATGCTGACCAATTTTCAAGAGGTCTTTAATAATGAGAAAATCTGGATAAATTGATGACTAGAAAAAGGAGACGCAGAAAAAAAACTTACATTGAAACGCTTTGCCTAACAGGGTTTTTTTTAAATCCCTCCTCAGAACTCCCTCCAGCAGCACCCCCACTCCCCCCCCCCAGTTATAATATATAACAATATGACGCACCTCCAGCGCCTCCGCGAGGAAGGACAGCCGCCGCCATATTCGGCATCTTCCCCCCCCCCCCCCCAAGCGGGACAGGAAGCGGAAGCTGCTATTCTCCCGACAGCTTTTTTTCTTCCGCTCTAGGAATCCAGCTGTGTCGCCGCTGCTCTTAACCGTTTCGGAGCCGAGCGGCAGGAGCCTCTGGGATTCTCCGGGCAAGGAGCGAGGAGAGGCGCTGTTCTCGCCTCCGGAAAGCCCCGCTGGATCAGCTGCACGGGCGCCCCAAAACGTTTTCTAAACTAATTTTTAAAAATTATTTTCAATTTTCAAATTAACAACATTTTTGCTTTTGGTACAATCCATATCCAATCCAAATTTGCAATAATTGACTTTCCCCCGCCCCCGTTTCTATCCCCCCCTTTTATTCTCCTTGCATGTAATTACTATATATTTCCTCAATTAATTTCAACCTTTGTTCTCCCTCCTAAATCTATTCTTAGTTCGTAAATGTTACATCAAACTTGCTAATGTTTTCACGTTTTTACAGTGTTCTTTAAAATAGTCTATAAAGTTTTCCCACTCTTGATTGAATTTTTTTCTGCTTAGATCTGTTCACAGAAAGTTTAGCCATTTCGGCATACTCAATCATCTTAGTTATCCATTCTTCTTTCTTTGGGACCTTTTCTTCTTTCCACATCTGGGCTAGGAGCATCTGGCCTCTTTGCTTCCTTGGCAATTCTCCTCCTATTACACCAAGTTAAAAAGCCTCTGTTTTTTTAAACAAACATAATTGTAAACTTTTTTAAAGTTCATTGTATATCATTTCCCTGAAGCCCTTTACTTTTGTACATGTCCACCACATTTGGGGGTGGGGGAAGTACCTTCCCCTTATCCTTACATTTCCAATATAGAGGTATTTTTTATACATTTTAGAAGAAGAAGAAGAGTTGTTTGGATTTGATATCCCGCCTTTCACTCCCTTTAAAGAGTCTCACAGCGGCTAACATCCTCCTTTCCCTTCCTCCCCCACAACAAACACTCTGTGAGGTGAGGGGGGCTGAGAGACTTCAGAGAAGTGTGACTGGCCCAAGGTCACCCAGCAGCTGCATGTGGAGGAGCGGAGACGCGAACCCGGTTCCCCAGATTACGAGACTACCGCTCTTAACCACTACACCACACTGGCTCTCAAACTTAGCTAACTTTACTGGAGTAAAATACCACCGGTACATCATCTTCATATAATTTTCTTTTAATGAACTACATGTCATGAATTTTAAAATCTCTTTCCACCTATTTTCCCATGATTCAAGTGGATTATAACCTATATCTTTTGTCCATTGTATCATTACAGCTTTAACCTCTTCATCTTTCGTCTCCCATTCCAACTGTTTGTACATTCTTGGTAACAATTTCTCATTATTTTCTAATAATTCCCTTTCAAATTTTAAGAATTCCTTCCCAAAGCCCTTCTCTTTGTCACCTCTGAATATGTCATTTAATTGGTAATATTGTAACCAATCTGTTAACAGAGCTTTTATATCCTCATATTCTTTCACCTTTAATTTGTAGTCTACTTCTGTTAGCAGATCTTTCTTTGTTGCCCAATTTCCATTCATGTTTACCTTTTTTACAGATATGGCTTCCAATGGGGAATGCCACAAAGGTGTCTTGTTCTCTAATAAATACTTATATTTGTCCCATACTTGGTAAATTGATTTCCCTATAATGTGGTTCAGGAATCCCTTGTGTACCTTTGTTTTCTCATACCATAAGTAAGCATGCCAACCAAACCTATTATCATGTCCTTCCAGATCTAATACCTCAGTATTGTTTAACTGTATCCATTCTCACAGCCAGCAGAGACAGGACGCTTCATAATATAACTTTAAAGCCAGCAGGGAGAATCCACCTCTTTGTTTTAAACCTGTTAATAATTTATATTTTATTCTAGGTCCCGTCCCGCCCCCCCCCCCGTCAGATAAATTTAGAAATATCCTTTTTCCATTGCTTAAAGTGTTCCACTCCTCTGACCGTGGGTATTGATTGGAATAAAAACAAGATTATTGTCAATACATTCATTTTTATCACAGAGACCCTTCCCCACAATGATAAGTTTATCTTTCCCCATATCTCCATATCCCTTTTAACTTCATTCCAGACCTTTAAATAGTTCTATTTAAAAATGTTTATATTTCTAGTTGTTAACCACACCCCTAGATATTTCACTTTCTTTTCTATCACTAGGTCTGTTTTTGACTTAAATTCATTTTTCTTTTGTTCTGACATATTCTTCAGTAATACTTTTGTTTTTATTCAACTTTTATGCCAAAATTATCATTTTTTCCCTAGCACCCTTGGAATATATTCCAGGGGTTCTTCCAGAGTTATGAACAGGTCGTCCGCAAATGCTTTCAATTTATATGATTTGCACCCTCCTGGAATTCCTTTTATGTTTTCATCCATCCTTATGCTCCTTACATTTTCTAAACTAAACTGCCCCGCTTCCCACCAAGGAGGTCAAGGTGGCTGACGTTGGTCTCCCACCCACACCTCTTCCATTTTACCCTCACAACATTATTGTGAGGTAGGTTAGGGGGGAGAGACTGTGAATTGCCCATTATCACCCAGTGAGGGAGGATTTGAACCCTGGTCCCCCTGGGCCTCAATCAATATTCTAACCACTGCACTGTACTGCCTGTCTCAGCACCTGCAATGAATGTGCTCCCCACATCAGATATCCTGATCTGGCCCTTCCTAGCAGAACTGGAGTAGTTTCTTTTATGGGTTTTTGTGTGTGCTTCTTCTCAGAATCATAAGAGTTGGAAGGGACCCCAAGGGTCATCTAGCTCAACCCTCTGCAATGCAGGAATCACATATTTAAAATCCCTGATGGAAGCCCATCCAACCTCTGTTGAGCCAGACATCCTGGAGAGTGAAGTCAAATGGGCCTTAGAAAGCACTGCTAATAACAAGGCCAGTGGAAGTGATGATATTCCAGCTGAACTATTTAAAAGATGATGCTGTTAAGGTGCTACACTCAATATGCCAGCAAGTTTGGAAAACTCAAAATCCCAAAGAAATCCCAAAGAAGGGCAGTGCCAAAGAATGCTCCAGCTACTGCACAATTGCACCCATTTCACACGCTAGCAAGGTTATGCTTAAAATTCTACAAGGAAGGCTCAAGCAGTATGTGGACTGAGAACTCCCAGAAGTGCAAGCTGGATTTCGAAGGGGCAGAGGAACCAGAGACCAAATTGCAAACATGCGCTGGATTATGGAGAAAGCTAGAGAGTTCCAGAAAAACATCTACTTCTGCTTCATTGACTATGCAAAAGCCTTTGACTGTGTCAACCACAGCAAACTATGGCAAATTCTTAAAGAAAAAGGAGTGCTTGATCACCTCATCTGTCTCCTGAGAAATCTCTATGTGGGACAAGTCGCTACAGTTAGAACTGGATATGGAACAACTGATTGGTTCAAAATTGGGAAAGGAGTACGACAAGGCTGTATGTTGTCTCCCTGCTTATTCAACTTACATGCAGAATTCATCATGCGAAAGGCTGGGCTGGATGAATCCCAAATCGGAATTAAGATTGCCAGAAGAAATATCAACAAGCTCAGATATGCAGATGACACAACCTTGATGGCAGAAAGTGAGGAGGAATTAAAGAACCTTTTAATGAGGGTGAAAGAGGAGAACGCAAAATACGGTCTGAAGCTCAACATCAAAAAAACGAAGGTCATGGCTGCTGGTCCCATCACGTCCTGGCAAATAGAAGGGGAAGATATGGAGACAGTGAGAGATCTTTCTTGGGCTCCATGATCACTGCAAACAGTGACAGCAGTCACAAAATTAAAAGACACCTGCTTTTTGGGAGAAAAGCAATGACAAACGTAGACAGCATCTTAAAAAGCAGAGACATCACCTTGCCAACAAAGGTCCATATAGTTAAAGCTATGGTTTTCCCAGTAGTGATGTATGGAAGTGAGAGCTAGACCATAAAGAAGGCTGATCGCCGAAGAATCTATGTTTTTCAATTAGGGTGCTGGAGGAGACTCTTGAGAGTCCCATGGACTGCAAGAAAAACAAACCTATCCATTCTGAAGGAAATCAGCCCTGAGTGCTCACTAGAAGGACAGATCCTGAAGCTGAGACTCCAATACTTTGGCCACCTCATGAGAAGAGAAGGCTCCCTGGAAAAGACCCTGATGTTGGGACAGATGGAGGGCACAAGGAGAAGGGGACGACAGAGGACGAGATGGTTGGACAGTGTTAGCAAAGCTACCAGCATGAGTTTGACCAAACTGCGGGAGGCAGTGGAAGACAGGAGTGCCTGGCGTGCTCTGGTCCATGGGGTCACAAAGAGGTGGACATGACTAAACGACTAAACATCATCAACAACAACAACAACGGACAGTCCACCACCTTCCAAGGTTTCAAGTGTCAAACAGCATTTGCCATCAGAAAGTTATTTGTCGGGATCTCCTTTCTCCTTATTTGAGTCCACTGATTTGGGTTCAACCCTCTGGAGTAGCAGAAAACAAGCTTGCATTATCTTCCCAGGACTCAGGCTTTGGAAGTCAGACCGTGGGAAGTCAAAAATTAAGACTACAATTTGGAAGACGATTGGGCTTTTTTAAATTTTAGTTGTTAATGTTTATTATATTTTATATGTTAATTAGATGTTCTTATTGCAAAATTAATAAACACTTTTTAAAAAAAGATCCTCAAACCTTTTTCGCTACTGCTCCACTTATGTAATTTTGGAGGTGTTTACTGGGGTGGGTGGGGTTGCATTTCTAAGTACATCCAATATGTCCTCTCCCCCCCCCCCGCAGCATGTTCACTGAGTAGTAGTAGTAATAATAATTTTATTATTTGTATCCTGCCATGGCCTCTCTGGGTGGCTTCTAGCACATATGGAAAACACAATAAAATGTCAAAACATTAAAAACTTCCTGATACAGGGCTGCCTTCAGATGTCTTCTAAAAGTCATAGTTCTTTATTTCCTTGACATCTGAAGGGAGTGCATTTCACAGGGAGGGCGCCACTACCGAGAAGGCCCTCTGCCTCG